CCCAGGGAAGCGGTTGAGTCCCCATCCCTGGAGGTATTTAAAAGACGTGTAGATGTGGTGCTTAGGGACATGGTTTAGTGGTGGACTTGGCAGTGTTGGGTTAACAGTTGGACTCGATGATCTTCAAGGTCTTTTCCAACCTAAATGATTCTGTGAGTCTATGGAGCAGAGCCCAGGTACTTTGAGGGGATGTAGCCTTTATTGGTTGAGGGATGAAGCCTTTGTTAGTTGGGAAGGATGATGTTCATGGAGAAAAGTGCTTTTTTTTTCTCAATGTTCCATATTTATTTACTTCTTATCAGGTAAAACCCTGCACTGAATTCAGATTCCCTTCCCCAGTCCCCAATTTACAGATTTTTCTTATAGCACGTTGTTATAGAGTCAGACAGACATTTATAGCGAGATAGAGGGCTGGATTAAGCTATGCAGAATTGGCCAAGAGGTGCAAAGAGAGGTACAGAAATGCATCATTGAGAGTCCCGCTGTTTTCAGCAGAGCCCTGCCTCAGTTTTCCATACTACCCCTTTGATCTACAGTGTAGACAAGCTGTGTTTCCTGTTTCTCTTCTCTTCTGTATTGACCTGTTCACTGGCTTTAGCCTTAGAGTTAGCTTAGAGGGAACAGGGGTTGTCTTTTCAGTCTAGATTTTTAGAAAGTTTTCTGGTTCACATCTACAGTTCCTAAATATTAGGAAATAATTGGTAGTGAAATGCATCAGCTTCATTTATATAAAAATGCAGAGAATAAAGCAAATTATTTTCTATATAATTTAATTTATAGCTAGTCTATGGGTTGAATGAGGCAGGACTGGTATGGAAAAAAAATTATGCAATTGGTCTAATTAAAAACCTGCATCACAGTGAGTACTCCAAAGCCTTTCTGCATAGTTAATCGTCTAGAAGAGATGTCACGGCTAGTAAGCAGAAGAGAGAGATTTAAGGAGAGCAGGAGAAGAGATGTGATGTGTGCGGTCAGGACATAACATTCACTGCTAAAATTTCAGAGAAGCTATGATTTAGGATCATTTTCAGCTTTTAGGGGATCCAGCACGGAGCAGGGCACCAACAGGGTATAAAGTTACCTGAGCCATCCGTGGCCTTGGCTGTGAGTTCTGTGCTATGTCCCTCACTGAGGAGCGTCGTCACTGTCGTCTTAGTGTGTGTGTGGCTTTAGTTCTGCACCTTGGTGGATAAGTTCAGATTCAATGGTATCTTAAAACTGACCTTAGCAATTCCTTTAAGGACAGTGGACTAAAGTAGTGCTGACAGTAGTGCTAGCACCAAGGCAGTGATGCAGTGGGATGCAGGCTACAAGTCTGTGAGACCCCAACTCATCATCAAGTTCATAGTGACCCAGTAAACCCTCTGCTACTGTTCTACATTCTGCTGAATGCTGTTTTGCTTGTGCCATTTAACTCTTAGTAATCCATACTTTGCTTTTTAACTTCAAATATGTAACTAAGGAGAAAAAATTCTCCAGGTATTTAAAGGCCTCTATACCTAAGTATGTTGCGTATTTTAGGCCATGTGTCTGAAGTGGTTAGGTACCCCTGAGCTGTGAAAAAGGGCAGAAAATGGGGCATGGTGCTAAAAAGGCAGATGTAGTCCATTTAGTATGCAGAGCAGGCACTGTTAGAAACGTATTTTCAAAGGAAGGCACAATGTGTGTCTGCAAGCATGCATCAATCCAACTAAAAAAAATTTTGCCACCTTATGTTTGCCAAAGTGGTTGTGTTTTCCTTTCTTTGAAAGCTTGGCATTCATTGTGTTCAAACAACTTAGAGCTAGCTGCAGGATAAAGAACTGCCTGCTTAGCATGGATGAGGGCTTTCTGTGAGCTAAGCAAAAGAGGCAAGCTTAAAATCCTGGCACCTAATTTTAATGAAGTGTATCACGGGCAGCTGCAAGAATAGAGTCCACCAAACCAGTCCTTGGTGCTTGTCTTTAGTAAAGGAAGTGAGTGAGTCCCTCTGTAAAGTGCTACTCAGTAAGGGAATGTGGATCGAAATCAAATTATACCAAAGAGTATGATTAATTTAGCAGAGTAAAATTGGGGTAGCGCTGTGAGGAAATTAAGGTAGGTCGCTTTGTGCTTTACAATATAGCTTTGTGGTGCTACACAATATTGCATTGCATTGGTAGGTATAGCTTTTAGTAAAACTATTTGAAATTAAAAAATTCTCCAGGTATGCTAGGCCCTCCGTACCCACGTTTCTTAAGTGTTTTGAAGTCCATGTGTCTGGAGTGGCTAGGTAGCCCTGAGATGTAAAAAGGGGTAAGAAATGAGAGCCTGGTGTTAAAAAGGCAGATGGTGACATGTATAAACAAAAAGCAAAATTTGATTTTTGGAAATGATCAAGGTATTTAAGTTTTTGTTCTGATAGTTGCCGCGGTACGTTGGCATTTGCAGTTTCCAATTTGTTTAGCTAATGCTTTGTAAAAGCGTGATGGGATGTTTCAAATTATGTTAGCTCACGTGACCTGAAAGAACACCTCTTTTCACAAGTCTAGACAGAAGAGAGAACAGATGCAATGGTGCCTTGCTGGCCATACACCCACAGTCAGCGTATCGCTGCCCTAACAAGTTTCAGACTTTATTTAAAGAAAAAAAGCTACACTTTCACTCCTTGCAGCAAACCAAAACATCTTGTACAGTTTCTGTGACCAGCAATGGCATGTTCATGTATTTCAGTAGAGAGCTGAGGAAGTGGAGCGGTCTGACCGACGCAGCAGTTGTCAGTTCCTGATTTACAGGGATGGCTATCGGGCATTTTAGATGTAGTCCCTTCTCAGAATTGGATCATTTTTGGAAGAGTTGAAGTAAAATTAGTGCAGGCGGCCTCACTTACTGTGGAGTCCTGACCTTCATATGCTTTTATATTTGTTAGAGTTTCTGCAGGTAATGCAAACTACTGATGTGTCTCGTTAATAGCTGCCTGGAAAGCTGAAGTGGGAGAGCCTTTTTGGAGCTGAATAGTCTGCCGAGGCCTGTCAAATATCCGATGAAATACCCACTAACCTGTATTTGGTTAAGCAGCTTACAAATTCGTGGGCCTCGAGCCACAGAAAGCTTTGGACCCAACAACCACCTGATATTTAGTTTACTAATTTTTTTCAGGCTCCTGTTCGCCTGGTAAAATCACCTGAAACCAAATATGAAAGCCAAGGCACCCCTGCAACCTCATCATCACTGAGAAGCCCCATTATCTCTTGAAAGAGATAACTTAAGCACCTAATTTCTACAGAGGCTCCAGGCTATTCGGAGTCTCTGGTTAGGTGCTTCCTTGCGTCCCGTACTGAGGCCCGTAACCCTCAGGCATATGGGGGTTATAAATTTTGCCCTGTGAGCCTTGTGAGGCTTTCCTCTTAGAAATTTGTGGAGTTCATACATCAGGATGGCTAAGTCCAGGAAATAAACAGTTTGATCCCTTCGCTGAAAGTTCAAGGGCTGGGTCCAGCAGTCTAGGAGCAGAATAATTAGGATCTATTATCTCATGCGAACGGGATCTCCAAAAATTGCTTCTTTTCCTCCAAAAAAAGATTTGTGCACTGGTTTTCCTCAGAATGTTAGTCTCTGGCCCGAACAGTTGTGTGAGAATGCATGGAGGTGAAATACATGCATCACGCATATTAGAGGATATAAGCATAGGGCTTGTTGATAACCAATTCTTCTTTAATTGACCTGAAGAGTGCCATACTATGGAGAGCGTTATGAACTAATGATTAGATTCAAAGCTATTTGTGATTTAATGGTCACATCAAGTGCCAATAACCTTCTGCCCTGCTGTGTTTTTATGCTACTTTCACTGTCAGTGATGCTTAAAAAAAAAAAAATAAATAAACTGGCAGGTGGTGTACTCAGCAGTTTCCAGCACTGAACAAATGACTCAAATTAGTCATAGAGTGGAAATCAAAAATAGGAGCATTTTACCACTTGCTCAGGGGCACACCAAGGATGATGACCAGCAGGATCAGAATTATTTGCCCGAGCAGATTAGAAGTGCCGATGAGTAAGTCGTCATTACAGGGGCAGTTGCACCCTGGATGGTGCGAGACCTGCCAGCAGCTGTGGTCCCATCGAGGCAGGACTTTCAGCAGCAGGGGTGATCCTCGGCAGCTGGCACCACAAGTACAGGCTCTTTTGCTTGGCGTTCTTTGTTTCACATACTACGGTACGCAGCACAGCAGCCTTGCAGTACTTGGACTCGAATGCTTTTTGTCAGCTCCATCTGGTTTGTGGTGTTTACATAAAGCTCAAGGAGGAGGAGAGTCCCTTTGGAAATAAAGCTTACTGTTTCATTGCTCTCTTTCAAATGCCCAAAAGCAGTGCAAAATCTCTGGAGTGAAGGCCCTGCACCACCACAAAATACTTGTGGGATCCCTGGGTAGCTGCCAAAAGCCCTAGTTATTTGTAGGAGGCAATTGAGAATACTGCTGAAGTGTTAGCCTTCAAAAATGCATCAGAAGCGTTTTTACATCCATCACATGGCTACTGCTGAACTCTCCATGTATGGATGTTCTTATGATCCTATTTGCAAGCTGCCCTGGCTCAGCTGAGGGGGTGTTGGCTTCTTCTTGTCAAAGAGAGGAGTAGGCACTAGGAGGCCTGACTTCTTCAAAGGACACTCTGCGAAACACCTCTTCTTATGAGTTTCAGACTCAGTCTCTCTTTTTTATGAACTTTTTTAGATGAGTATCGGTTAAGCACTGAGAAATGCCCTGAAGCAGCTACTTATAAATCTCTAGTTTGATGTTAGGTATGACCTAAGTTACAGATTTCAGCGTGTGTGGATGGATGGATGGATAGCACATCTCAAAATCAATACACAGTCAGAACAGGTGTACATCAGAATATTTTCCAAACAGTCATTGACAGAGGAAGAAAAAGCACCAGAGTGTATTGAGGGATTTTCCTCCTCTTTTTTTTTCCTTAGGATATTAATGTATTAAGGTAGAAGCTTGCAGTGTCCAAGCAAGGAGGCTTTTTTTTTTTTTTTAACTAAAAGGCAGAGCCACCATTAAGAGAAAGAAATGCTTCTTTATTTATATTTATGGAAGTCAGCATAAGAAGATGGACAGCAATACAAATGCTGTGCCTGAAATTAAGTAAGTCCCGGTTCAACAAATTGAACATTATTTGCTTGCTTAACTCTTGTTCTTCGCCTGATTGACCAGAAAAAGCCCCTTGCTCTCCATGCTTAGCTCCAGCGCTGTACAAGGAGCCAGATGAATGGAAGGGGGCAGTTGTGCTACTTTGATGAATTGGCTATGTCCAGCACTGGAAGAAGGCTGTAGTTTGGATTGGCAGGTCTGAGAGCTCTTTGGCTGATTTTTATTATTCTGTCATCCCCTCCAATACAGCCTCTGTCATTATAGAAGGCTACAGCACCCCCCCAACCCAGCCTCTGTCATTATAGAAGGCTACAGCAAAAACATGTCGTTCTTCAGATGAATAAACATAAGTTGTGTTGAAAATCTACTGCTTTGAGGCATTGATAAGCAGGGTAAAGACCTCAACTTATCTGATGCCTTTATGTTGTCTTGCTTTTCTTCTTCATTTTAAAGTGCATTTATTATGTTAAAAACTAATTAAGAAGCCCAGCCTCTGTCATTATAGAAGGCTACAGCAAAAACATGTCGTTCTTCAGATGAATAAACATAAGTTGTGTTGAAAATCTACTGCTTTGAGGCATTGATAAGCAGGGTAAAGACCTCAACTTATCTGATGCCTTTATGTTGTCTTGCTTTTCTTCTTCATTTTAAAGTGCATTTATTATGTTAAAAACTAATTAAGAAGCAATACCTTAGAGAGCAATACTTTGAGAAGGAAAGCTGCCACATGTGAACAAGCATGTAAGATCCAAGAATTAAAGGGAAAATATAAATGTTTTGAGCCATACTGACAGCAGAAACTGAAAATACTGAGATCCTTTTTCATCAATATTTTAGACTTTTCAGATCAAAAAGAGAAAAAGGCCATATGCATTATGCAATGCATAATACAACTTTAAATTCAACGCATTGAATTAAATGAATTCCCAACTTCCTTGGGAAGTTGTCCTCAGTTTGGGTGAAATTTTTGGGAGTGACCTAATAGGCTGCAATAGTTGTCATGTTTCATAAAAAACAAAACAGACTGAGCAAAAAATAATAAACGATGAGAACAGCAAGGGACAGGAGTCCTCAAGTTATTCCTGTATACCTACAAGTGCACTGGAAGATTCGTAGATGCTGAGGCTAAAAGGGACCTGCTATCTAGTCTGACCTGCTGTAAATCACAGGCCAAAATATTTCACTCATTCTACACTCACTTCTGTATGTAATTTGCAGACATGTGGCCAGTTTTGATTTAAAGATATGAAAGCTGAGGAGAGCAGTCCTAACCAGACGCCCTGTCTTTCTTCAGTGTTTGATCCCGTGATTAACCATATCCACTGACTACAAATTTTAAAAAATGCGTGTTAATACAGATGTGTTTTTCAACTGCAAATGTTCAAGATAGCAGGCCTTGTTTTGCTCTCTAGTGCAGTGGGTTAGTGCTTGGTTACTACAGTGCTGTCCTAATTTACCAGCCAGGAACTAAGACTTCTGCCATTGCTGCTGAAAAGTCACCCAGTGTCACAGGAGCTCAGGCGAAGTCCAAGTGAAGCTCGTCGCGTGAGCCTGCGCTGCAGGAGCGCTTGCCACAGGAGCATCCCCGTGCCACTACATCCAGCCCTTGCATGCCTCTAGGCCTCACCGCTGACGCCTGCCTTTTGTTTCCCTTCACAGAAAATCCTGACCATGATCCCGACCGAGGAGGAGAAGCAAAAGATCCAGGAGGCACAGCTGGCGAACCCTGATGTCCCCCTGGGCAGCGCCGAGCAGTTCCTTCTCACCCTCTCCTCCATCAGTGAACTTTCCGCCAGGCTCCAGCTCTGGGCTTTCAAGATGGACTACGAGATAGTGGAAAAGGTGAGGGGAAAGCAGGGAGGCAGGGGTGGAGGCTATTCCAAGGCTTTGCTTAATCTTTCCCTGACCTTGTTGTTATACGAGCATATATTTTGAGGAAATGGTAAATGGGTCGCTTTTGTTCCAGTGGCCAACCAGGAAACAGCTAAAATGATCCTTCATAATCTGTTCCTTCTATAAAAGAAAATTAGAGATTATGTCTTCCTTCCTTTAATTAGGCAGTAATGATATTGGAACAAAGAAGAGGGCTAAATCCTTACCACATCTTCTCCAGATGTTGTTATTCAGGAAATTCTTACTTCAGAGCAGTAAAAATTTTTCTTCGGATAAAGATTGAATGAGGACTACAGTATTCAGCCTTACGTCATAAAATGAGAGTATTGATCTTGCATCCATTTGAACTAAGGAAAACACCATCCATTAAAGTTATTTCTGTTTATAACTCTCTTTCAAAGCTATAAACAAAAGATAAGACATCCTTCAGGGGTGCTCTTTTCAGTTCAGTCACAGACAGTTGTCGCTACCTTCTTCATGGATGGCATTTATTCAGAGAACACTATAATTGGGTTGTCTGTCATGTATGATGAATCACAGACAAAAATTTCAAAATGACAGCGTATAATTTTGGTGCAGAGGTGAAGCAGAATGAAACTGTGTAGGCGATTTCAGCTACTTGCTCACTTTCACAAGCTCTTTGAGCAATCTCAGCGCAGGAACATTCTTCTTGCTGCACTTCTCATGCATACCCCATGCATTGCTCTTCAGGCAGCTCTCTCCTGTATATATTAATTATGTATGTGTATCTGTGTGCATATGTGTATATTAAAAAATCGGTGTAACTTCGTGTGATACAGATTCTGAGAAGTGGGACATGCTTCTGAAAATGCCTTATGTTTACCTAGCCACAGTTATTTCACAAGTTATGCAATAGTGGATTGATTTGCAGATGATACTGTCAAGGTTACTCAACCTCTGTTTAATTTTCTTAGATTTTAGGAAATGCAGTCACACTAATATTCAGGATTTTTTAATTGTGACACTTTAGTCTTAGACATTTACATTTCTGACTCATAAAACATAAAATACTTGTATCTGGCCCGAATACTTTTTTGCCAGTTATTTTTTACTCTGGTACAGCTATTTACTCTGCTTTGAAGTTACCACAATGCTAAAGTGTTCCTTTCATGTGAGCTGAGTTAGCTGTAGCTGTTAATCTATGTCTATACCTAGAATTTCTAGCTTCCTCTCAATCAAAAAGTAACATTTGAAGCACTGCTAAAAGCTGATGAAATTCTGATAGTTTTCCTGTTGCTGGTCCTATAATGTTTATGCCACAAAGTTAATGAATTGCCAGCTAAAATCCATGTAGAATGGATGTTAGTATAAAAAGTCTCAAATACCTAAATTACTCAAAGAAGCGATAGCTGGAGTGAATCGTAGAATCATAGAATCATAGAATCATTGAGGTTGGAAAAGACCTCTAAGATCATC